AAGGGTACTTTTTAATGCTTGTCTTACAAGGTGCTTGAAGAGGTGCACAGCAGCAAACAAAGGGGAGCTGAAGCCTGCCGCATGTACAAAAATGTATTTGAAGGTGTTAGTTTTTTTAATGCATGGTTGAGATGTTTTGAAAGCCATAGATTTTTTTAAGTGAGTCGTTGTTAGAGAAGCTGTGACTCTTTTCTACAGGCAACAGTTGTGCTGTTTCCCACGATCAGACTCTGCTTAATGTAGACCAAGGGTGATAGAAAATGTCATTTATATACTGGGCATTTCAACTACGTGAGTATATAGAGTCAGTTTATTCTCACTTTGCCTGAACATCCAATTTTAAGAAACGTTCAACTTGAGAAGACATGTGAATGACTTGCTTTATGTACTAGTAGGAATTACTAAGTTCAACTAGACACTAAGTCTTCTTTTAATCAGATTCAGCTCTGTATACTTAGTAAATCCTTTGTCATTAAAAGACATAGATTTTCAGCCCGAGGCCTGGCATAGTGTCCAGCTGTTTTTGTATGAATTTTTATTGTATGAACAACATGTTTTCCCACAGCCTGCTGAGGTAGCTCTTTGGCTGCAAATTTGTACAACTGGTTATGAGATAAGGTAGCTGGGAGAAGATTAGGAAGGCCATGCATGTGAGGACATGTTGACATAACAAAACCTTCAAAAATGAAATCTAAATTGTCTTGAAAAAAGCAGCAACTGGAAAGCCGAACCTCGGAAGCTAGAAAACGCACATTCCACCAAGCCAACCACCTGTTTGCAATAGTCCACTGGATGTTTTGAAGTTTACCCAATGCTACAAGTGGTGTGTAAATGTTTGTCTGCTTGGATGGACTTTCCCAAGTGCTCAGGGGGTAGGTTAGGTCATATTTGCATTTTTCTAGACTTTATACTCTGCTGTTGGGAACCATGTTTTTAAGGATACCGGCAGCGTTTCATTGATTTTTTTAAAAACTATTCTATAGATGAAGATTCCTGCAATATCCCAAGGGCTGAAAGGGGGTTATCAGAATGTCATATTTTCTCCGTCAACATTCTTCATTAACAAATCATTTTTCAAATTTGAAGTTATTCCCATCTTTGCACTCCAAAATTACCCTTCCTTGCCTATCATAAAACAGGATGGAATAGCATATTATGATTATAACAATGATATATTTTTTCATCTTCAGAATTTAAAAGATTGGTATCACAGGTTTACAAATTCAATATTTTAGCAAAGTCAAACTTTGCAGCAGCCTTTTTACTATTTTAGACACATACTCAGTTGTATAAAAAAAATCAATTAGGAATGTGCAGGTAAAACATTTCTCTTGTGCTAACCCCTATCACACCCCCTGCTGTGTAGGCTCCCGAATACTTGTAAAACCTGTTAAGTGCACATTATTGATTTTCTGAAAGCTACTGAACGAAAACTTGCAGGCAAATTTTTGTGGTGTAAGCAGCAGCAGTGTTGTCTTGCTTCAAGGTTCAAAACTTGCAGAGTGATGAGAAAGTTCCTGTCAAAGGTGATCGACTATGATTTTATTTTCAATTGTTGTTGTTGCAGATAAGTTGTTTTGTTGATTTCTTAATGATAAGTTACAGCCATATGCTTCAACCGCCCAAGATAGTGGTGTATGTAATACTATTATTTTGTATTACCAATGGATAGAAATCAGAAACTAGATGGTAGAAAATTCTTCTTGTAGAGTATTCTTCTCGTTGACACACTAGTTAGAGCCAGACTTTTCTGTAACAAATTGATTTAAAGTCCACATCCAGACAACGTTTTGCAGCTGTGTTGTGTTTTTTGTTATCCTTGTAGACAGACAGACAAATCAATTTTGTACAGTTTTATTGGCAGCCAAGGTAATAGTTCTCAGCTGCTGCTGAACAGTGTACACGACATTGTGCAAGTTGTATTCTATCCAGAGTCAACCAAATATTACACTACAGTCCTTACACTTTTCCTGAGTAGTGTTTACTTGACAGAGAGTTTTCTTAGAGAGTCCACTATGTCCTCAAAAACCTTGTGTCATTTTGTTCTTCTTTTATACAATTTGTTTATTATTCTAGACTTGTTCTTTCTTTGGCAAGGCTTGTTTTTCTTTTTCATGGGGGCCTTTCTGGTTGTGGGGGTCTGCAAAGACAGTCACGTCATTGATGCTTAAAATTTCTGCTGTCTTCAAGTCTTTGTCACGACAGTGCGTCAGTGTTTCCAACCTTTCTTTATGCCCAAACATGTAGGTGCCATTTTCACATTCAAGGAACTTTTTAAGTGGACCAGTTTTTTTCTGGTACTGGATAATGAATAGACGTTATATATCCAGCATGACCAACCTTTTGTCCTGTTGGCATGTTGTATTGACGTCTTTACCCTCAAGGATGCGTAATACTATATAAGTCTAACGACTCATGCAATGACCCATTACACCTTCTCTTAGTGCTCGTCTGCACTTGAACTAGCCAAACTGGGATTTGAACCAGGGTCCTGTGATATTTCAAATCCTGAGTGTACTATGCTCATTTTGAGTACCGTACGTGTAATACTTTATGCCTCTAAACCTTGCTATTTGACTGTCTCAATGCTCGAGTAGTAGGGTTTTGGCTAGCTTTGTGTTATGGTAGGATTCCTTTGGCTTAACTTGCATTCTCTCTAAAAGTAATGAGGCTAGGGAACTTAAAGTATATGTATCACTAGTCTGCATCTTTTTTTAGACTAGGTATGTCTCTGTTAACTGTGAACATGATTCCCCAAGTAACATAATATATGATTCAATGGTATCACATTTATTTGGACTTATCAAAACTAGTGTCTGGCTATATGAATCCATTGTGTTGTATTTCCTTCAGAAAAGATGAAGGAATGTAGTGTTTATAGATTTCCGTCAATATTACACTGTCACATCCTAGAAATAGATCCCCCAGGGCCACTAATTATATGTTAAGCATTAGCATAGCTACTACTCTAACCCACAAGAAACAGGATGTAACCTATACTAATCCTCTAACCACTGTACCCGCACTGCTGTAAACTTATCACCTTTGGATTGTGCTAAACACTCATCTTAAGCTTAGTTATTTATTGTTTAAATGATTGGATGTTCACATTGATTAGGTTAGTCTTGCATTTAGTACCCCCTTAGTGATCATAAACTCGAGCAAACAAAGAAGAAAGGGGGCTAGATGAAGCCTTAGCGAGCCGAAACATCATATGGCACATATTTTGCAACGCTCGGTAGTTGGTGCATGGGAATGCCTTTTCTGACATTGAAATATTACGTGACCTTCAAAATCTGGGCGTCCTTTGTGGTACAAAATGTCTGTTGTGCACAGGTCAGTGAGCTTAGATAATGTGGGTTGATATAGATTTATCACCTGTGAGTGATACATCGCTTTTTGTTTGCAAAGGTACAAAATGTATCTCTTAATGTTTGCGAAAATTCAATATAGAATCTTATACCTTTTATGAAACGGGTATGGGTTCAAAATTTCAGAGGGGTCCAAAATAATTTTTACACAAAAATACAAATAAAGTGTCTATTTTCTATTTCTCTTTGGATTGAAGGCAGTGTGCTTTACAAAGTAGACGGTATTAGAAAATGATAAAGCAAGTTTGCATACCATGCATGCAAATTAAGTATTAAACTCCAAAATATGTTAGACTTAAAAAGCAACCAACATAAGTCTAGTGCTTAATCGTTTATGCTTAAATGATAAATAAGTAATGAAAGTACCACAAAACTAAGTAAAGCACGTACACAGCAGTGAGAAGAATATTGCATGACAAGTTGACTTGCTCCCTACATGTAAGTATAGCTGCTGTTGTGATTAATTATCGGCAAAACTCTCCAGCATACATTGGTCTGACAACGTGTGGTCTACTGTGACCAGAGAGCTGATTTTTATGTCCATCCTGTAGTCATGTTTTAATCTAGAACAAAGGCACAAGGCCCCAATCCCCCTGGAGAAAAAACTCTGCATCTCCTAATTTCCTTGGCATTCAACCAACACAATATAACATTCACTCTGCATCTATTATTTATGGGACTCTCAAGAAAAAAACATTGGTGCAACATTCAATCTGGCGTGCCATGTAAAATTCATATTTGATCAAAGCAATAGCTGTGTGTGTAGTAATTGTGTGAGGCATTTTGTGCATTAATCTGATGTGATCTGTATTATTCATTTTTGTAAGTATACTTTCAATATGTAAAGTGTCAACAGCTTAAAGCATTGTTTAGTAGATCTGTTGAGTCAACATATTATCATCAAGATTCAGTTCTCAGTTGCCAGAATGATGACAGTGGTAAATGGTAAGGTTCATACAAGACATTTCTGAAAAATCTTGATTTTTTTCCAAGCAGGCAAGGATACAAATACTAAAAGAATGAACTTGATGTAGTTTGAAGTTTCTTGCTCAAACATTTCATCAAATTAATGGACACATCAATTCCGAGAAGCAAAAATATTAATTGCTGATAACTTTGAGTTCTCTGCACTGAATACAATTTCCAGCAAGTTAAGATACCAGCTTTGTGTTATTAAAAGGGACAAAATTGTTTGACAATTGTGTCAATCATCCCATTTCTATGATGAATGTGTTACTAAGTAGGTCATACATGTACCAACCATAGATGCTGAGGTCACTTGAGGGCCAGTTAACATGTTAGGCTGTGTTCATTTTGCCATTAAACAACCTGCCCTGGCTATCCTGTTATTACACCTACCGCACATTGTGATTTTCTTTTCTGGAACATACCAAATAACGTTCTTAAAAGATATGGAACACCCTAAATATTAAATTGTAGTAAGATATGATCCTTGTCTATTTTTGCCCAAAACTAAGATTGCACATTTATTAGATTGTTGCAGAAAAAAAATAGAAGACTATTCACAATGTACATGTATATGTTCTTGCTCAAAAGAAACGCCTGCTTTGCACATCCCTATTAGTCGTCCCCAGTGGTACAGCCCGACTATTGCATATGCATGTTGCACATTACTGGTCAGGGTGGCCGTCTGCCTGCAGCATGCATTCGCTGTGCCGTTGGGTGCAGAAGTGAGATGTATTAGGGCGGCTGATATGGCCTCCTAGACGAAAGGCTTCTGTTTGACCAGGGTGGTATACAGAACGCTGTGTGTACAGAATATACTCATGTTAGGTCTAACGTATGGCAAGGTTGTATTGTGGACTGTGTAGGGAGTACCCGGGATTCAAAGGTGAGTCAAAGGTTCGTCATTGTCTGTTATTCTTTGGCTCGATTCATTCAGGCACAGGTTTTATCACGTTTGTACAATTCTCACATCTGTATATAAAAGGCAGTTTGATTTTGATATGAGTAGCGTTATGTTCAATGCTACATGTATATTTGAAGTCTGCTTCAGAAGAAATTGGCACAAATATGACACCAAGGCATCTGTTGAAAAAGAATAAATCTCATTCAAGGCTTTGAAAGCATTCCGAGCTCTCAGTACCCTCTTGGTTGGATTTGTTCAGAGTAGGTTGGCCTTTGTAAAGGTTTAGTGCACTGAAGTGCAAAGTGGCTTGGCTTGAATAGGAACAGATGAGCCTGTATGAGGTGGTAGAAAAACATCATTAGAAATTTTGGGTACACTTTTACAAAAATTCAGTGTAAAATGCTCAATTTACTGTGATGTTTTATGGTCTCCAATAACTTAAATACTAAAACATTTTACACTGTCCCAAATGCAGACCTCCAATTAAAATTATGTTTTTACATGCCCAAATGTTACTCATCTATAATTATTGCACTCAGTCTAGTACTGCAAATGTAGAATAGCTTGTCTTCTGAACCTATGACTTATGATATTCATTTTGATATGGGTGTGTGCATGGCAATTTGCAAGAACTGGAAACTGGGTCAATGACATGCTTTACTGTGCATGAATCCTTATTAAATAGTACATGACCAAATTGACTTTTGTAACCTTTCTTATAACTAGTTTTTCTAGCTGATGGTGTTAATGAAAATATAATGTAGGTGTTTTTTTTTCTCCCAAGAAGGTATTGTTTGGCATGTCCATAGCTTTGTTGAGCTCAGAGTCAATGTGACTGTGATTATAGAAAAAATTTACAATTATCATGATATAGCTGTGACAAAATCATATGTTAACAGTACATTATGATCATAATATATAACTTACTCAATTATCTATTTCAGAACGAGTGTTTAGGGTCACTTATGACATATGTCCAGTGATTTTGTAGACTTCTGAAGTTTCAATTTTCACAGACTACTCCACAGTCCAGTCCTGCATGGCTTCTTCTGTTCTAAACTATTGACAGAAGATAATGATGACTTTTCTTATGATAATCAGATCGTATCAGGCACAAAAGGTGGGATGATTACCATGTCAAACAGGCTGCTCCCCTGGCCACAATATACTACCCAGGAAGTGATGTCAAAGACACTAGACAGAAAGGACTTTCAAGATTTCCAAGAACTGTTACGACCCTTCCTGTGTACAGTAGCCCTTTTCCCCTTGTTGGTGAGTCAGAGTGATTTAATGGTTTAATGCATATTACATGGTGTACTTCTGGGTGGCTAGTGTGCTTCTGGGTGAAGTGCTAAAAGTGCTACAGCTGTGCCACATAGGCAGAACCTCACCCATTCAGATATGTAAGAATCATGATGATAAAAACCTTTGTTAGATGCTTCAAGTGAGAACAATGGTGACGTTTAGGCTGTCTTATTATCCCGATCTTGTAATGGTTCCAGAGAATGTTGATCATAAGGTCTGGTCTCTTTCTTCTTTTGCATAGTATCAGCATTGGGGACAAAGCTCAAAAGCTGTAGCTATTTTCACAATTTTCTGCATTGAGGAAAGACTGGTTGATTTTGTGTTATTGTGAAACATTTAGGCTTTGTCGAACAAAATTTTCTTGAAGGATGTAATGCCTGTGTACATGCCCTTTTCATGTTTTTTTTTTCATCTTAAAGTTTATGTGCGCCAATTATGTGGCTAGCTCGTTTTCCCCGAAAGCTCTCCTTTCTGTAAACTAAAGGCAATGTTTTGATCAACAGGATAAAGGGTTGGTGGGACTGTCGACAACCAGAATAACTGGTGGTCCCCAAAAGTCCTTCAATTGAAGAGTTCTCGCGGTGTCGAACAAGACCGTTTTGTCAGATCTCATCCCACTTACAATTTTATCCACACCAAATTGCATGGACAGTTTGTTTCGGCTGTATCACTTTATTCAGGTACGTACCACGACCCCTTTTGTTTCCTGTTGATCCTGAATCGTGAGGAAAAGAGTCAGATAAAATCAGACCTGCCCTGCAGTGTTTTGGTTGGAACTCTAGCCGCTCCGAGAGGTAGCACCGCGCGCCGCCCGGCGTACAACTTCAGAGAGAAACGTGTTTGTTTTGACTTTGCGGCAACGTCACCAGATGCCGCATAACTGGGCTCTCTCTGTCATATCCTTGTTGTTATGCATCATTAATGGCAGACAAAACCACCTGTTATAGTTAGCAACCCACAATATTGAATATGGGGCATGGTAGGTCAGGGGACAACAAAGACTCCAGATTGTACACTCTACTGGGGTTACTCCAGTTACAACCGAGAAGGTGTTGTGCAATGTTCAAGCTGACTTTGTGTTTGTGCAATGTACAGAAAGGTCTTGACGTCATACACCACTTTATATTCTTTTATGATACACAATACTCATCTCTCTCGAGTCAATAGGCTAATTGCTTTTTATTATAAAGTCTCTCTTAGATTGATTTTTATGAGTTTATTTGACCTTCAAATGCCATATGTTACACAGATCATGTATACCTTGACAGTGATTTAGCTTTTTAGACTAAGAAGTAGAGACTAAAACCGGTTTTACAACTTTGAAGATTTCCATGCCATTCGTAAACACTAATTTTCAGAATCCTAAGGAGAGCCAAACAAGTTGTACCCATGTTATACATGCTACATCTTTTTGTGTTTAAGTTCATATGTCACTATATGATTACTTGTAATCATTGAGATATGTGAATTGCCAGTTCAGAGAATGTTTGAAAGTGTTTTAAGCATGGAGCTTAGACTTGTTTCTTTGAAGTATGAACTTTTCTATATCTGATGCTAGCTTTCCAAAGAATTTAAGATGTTTTAAACGTAACAATACATTGCTTACTAAGTAGTAAAATGTTATTGCATACCTTAGATTTTTAGCTAGCTACGACCTTTTTCGATAAGCTTTCTTAAAGAAATGAGAAGTATAGTATCTGACAGGATTCTTGGTGTCGTTCGCCACAAATGTGATGCCTTTTAGAAGGAATGGTTCCCTGTGGATTTATCAATTATGTATGGAGTGTTGTACGGGGATGGATTGTTGGTCACAGAATCAAGAGTTAGACAATTAACTGGATGGAAGGAGAGCAATTTCAGCAGATTTATTGCTTTGACACAGTTACGATCATGGCAGGTAGTTCTAAATGTCTGCATGGTCATATGTCTCTTACAAAGTGCAGGGAACACGGTTGTTGTGTCAGCACTTGAGGTTGTGCATCGTATATTATGTACACTATATGGCTGAAATTAATATCGCAAGTATTGAAAGGTGCTGTAACCAATACGGTCCTAAAACCAGACTGACTATTGAGACAGCCATTGTATGGTTCTTAGAGGTCAAAAGTTCCAATCAATTTAATGGAGACTCTAGACTCTAGACATATCCATGATTATGGATTATTAAAAAGGATAATTTTTAAGATTTTTAAGCTAGACTGCTGGCCAAAGTAAGGAGCAGTCTACACAATTGTGCATAATGCAGGGACGTTTAATCATTGAACATCATCAGCTCACAGTTAAAAACATTCTCAAAGACCAAAACTTTTCTAGTACTATAAGTGTGGATGAGAGATGACAGTTAAGAATTCAAGATCTCAACATTCTGGTCAAGAATCAGTCTTGCTACCCTCTGGACCACACAGCCAAGCAATGGTAAATTTAGTTGGGAAGTCAACCATAAGAATTAAAAGATTCATCACTGACTTTATTTCCAGTCAACCTAACTCCTTTGAACATGTGAATCAACCCTCTCATGCATGCATGTCTAGTTGACAGTTCACTTACTGAAGGGTAAGACAGCATTGTTTAAAACTTATTCCTGTCACGACATATCAGCTCGGACCCATTGCTACATTTTGATAGTCTTACCAACTATTGAAGTCTGCTTACCCGTTGTCAAAGCAATGTCAGGTCTGAGATTAGAACCAGGGACTTCACTACTGTTTGAAGCAAATTGCTATGAAATCTGTTCAAGCTCGTGTTTGAGTAAAGTGACATGTTAATCCCAGTTGATGTGGCCTGCTGTCTTTCTTGGTTTGCATCAACATTTGCTGCGATAAATCGTACCTGGAAGGTTTGTCCTGTTCAGGACATACCTTGTTGTGCTGTCTCCTAATGAAGTAGGTATCAGTCAGTGCATATCCTGTTATAAGGATTTTTGAGGACAGACATGACCAAGCATGTCAATGACTGTCATACTTCATCCTTCAGTTTATTCCATTTTGAATTTGTGAAGCATAGGTAGCATTGTACATTTTGTACCACATATTACAAAAAGGTTGAAGTGATTTACATTTTTACAAAACATTAGAAGCTAAAAGACTGACAAAGCAGGCAGTAACAGTGTGATCGTGGCTGAAAACTGTGCCTTTAGATTTGACGAAAGCTGCTGAGAAATTCAAGGTTGTAAGGTGGTAACCTTCACCGTCGTAAAGTCCCAACTTGAAGCCATCATGTATTCCCAGCCAGCTTCCTGGCAGGAAATCATCCAGCATGCATTTTGAGTGGTCCCTGCAGTGGGAAGGCAGTTACTTGGTTCAAGTCTTTGGAGAACCCTTCGATGATACTGTTAATGGTGTTATCGGAAGCTCTTCATGTACTTGTGTGCTGGTAGCGATAAGTATTTCCTGCTTTTTCACTGTATTTCCTGTTTTATAGCTTTCAAATTTGATATTGCTGCCAGCAGCTTGAATGTATGATATTAGACCTGATAAAAAACACATCAGATACATGCAATGCAGAGCTGTCCAGCCTTCCAAAATTACACTAATTGCAAGAGAGATCTCAAGGTTGAAGTAAGAATAGTTGGATAGACAACAGGCTCACAAATCTTTGCTAAGGAGAAGGTTACAGCAAGAATCTAATCCAACTGGCTTTGGGTTCATGTCTTGTACAACAAAAGGCTTTGTGCTCGT